TTCCTGACCGTGGTGTATTCTCACTCAACATTAAAAAAATCACACAATCAAAGATCACAAAATTTAAAATTTAAAAATCTGGAAAATTCATAGAAAACAGTAAATTCGTCCAAAAATAGAATTTTTTTTTTTATTATGTCAAGTCAAGACTTGACTTGATCTGACTTGGCTTGACTTGACTCGCTTGACTTGACTTGACTTGACAAAATTTTTTGAAGTCAAGTCAACTTAAGTCAACTGTATAAAAAAAATTTTTCAAGTCAAGCCATGTCAAGTCAGCTGTATTAAAAATTCTCTCAAGTCAAGTCAAGTCAAGTCAGACTTGACTTGCCCAGCTCTGGAATCAAACCTATAGATTTCCTTCTAGTCTAGAGATGTACGAGAACACATTTGTTCGACTCAGGCCTAGCCTGCAGCAAGAGGGACCAATCGGATTCCAGTTTTCCCCCTGGATCCGTAACTCTCTTAATTAAGTTCTGGTCTCGATTCGGGTTCCGGCTATCGGAACAGGAACTGGTTTTTTTATAAATCTCTAATTTCGACATAGTGTAAGTCTTTTCGTATCGATAGATCAGAAAAACCGTCTCAGCTGTTCTTAGGAAGTACTAAAGCCTATTTCCTCCATGCTGAGAAACATTTACTTCAAGAATTTTAATTTGCTGTTCAAATTGTGTTTTCATTTGTTGATATTCATTTTTTAATTCTGAAAGTCTTTGTCCAAGTTGATTCATTTGCATTTGATCTTCTCGAACATTTCGATCGAGAATTGATTTCTAGTGAGCATTATAAATTCATATAAATATAATTTAAATATTTCAACAAGCATACTCGTTCACTTAAATCAGTTACTTTAGCTGTTGTCTGTGTGACAAAACGATTATGTCGTATATCATTATTTCTTGAGGTTAATTTCGTTTGTTCGATTGTTTTAAGTAATGCTTCACGTTCTTTTTGTTTCGAAATACTAAAGAGAAAAAGCATACAGCAATTCATGAGATCAGTTCTATTATTTCATACCGAGTTTGTCGAATATGTTGAAGTTCTTTTTCAAGTGTCGCTAGTTGTAATTTTAATGAATCGATCATCATCTCATGAGCTTCTCTCATTGAATCAAGTTCTTTTGTTGTTTCAGCATTATCCAAATTGAGTTTAGCTGTTTTCTCAAGCTTAGTTGCAATTTCATGTTTTATTTCTTCTAGTCTATAGAGAACGAGAGAGAGGAAAGGCAACGAGAAATTTGATTGAAAAGATAGGATTGATATACAAACTCTTTTCCTGTTTCTGATTTTGAATGTTCTAAAATTTTTGATACTTGAACTTGTTCTTCAATCTGTTTAACCACTTCTTCGTGTTTTTGTTTAAGTGATTTCAATCTGTCTGTTTCTTCATTTGTTCGTTCATGAGCCTAAATCGTTTATAAAGTTAATAGAAAAGTTACAGTTGAAACAGATGTTTCCACGACACTACTTCCCATCATATTCAGATCAGTGAAATTCGATACTAAAAATCATGATGAGAGCTACAGCTAGAATAAGTTCTATCTCTAAATCTCTCCGAATGGCTTATAAATTTTGGCTGTACATTTTACCCCGGTCGAAGAAAACGATCAGTAAACGGTCGCATACGATACAAATACGGCCCGTTTTACGTGCCGTATTTTCCCCGTATAACAGAGGCAGTAATACGGCCGTATTTTCTATAGAATACGATAATATTACGCCGACTTTACGAGGTTTTACGGCTGATATACGGTGTCCGTGTATGGCCGTAATACTGCCCCTGTTAAAACGCCCTAATTCGGCTTAAAACGGCCGTTTACGGTGGCCCGTTTTGATCGACCTGGGTATTCAAGTTCGAACCCTGAATCGTAGAAAATAAAACCTCGAAGGGATTATCTGTCTTCGGTTAGTAGGACGCGTAGCTTTTTTAAGAGACGCAAAAACTAAAACTAAAGAAAACAACATACCATTGCTGCTCGTTTTTCAAGTGACTCTTTCTTCGTTTGAAAATCAAGTAATGCTATACCGCATAATTCAGTAAATTGAAGTCTATTTGAAAAACAAAAACAAAATTTGATTATATCTCTTTTTGATTGAAAATTTTCTTGCCGGTCTTGTAATAACCGATCATGCTCTCGTTTTTCCATTTCTAATAATTCATTTTGTTCCTCAATTTTTTTTCTTATTTCGGCATTATCATTATCAAATCGTTCACGTTCCTATTGAGAAATAAATAGAAGCTTTATTATTTTGTTTTTAATTTATCTATACTCAACTCGATACATTGTACGCAATTGTAATTCAGTTTCGGACACTTTATGAGTAGCAGCATCAACATCTCTAGAAATCGATCTGGATTAGAAGAAAGAAAATGTTACCTATTAAAAACTACCTTTTTAGTAAATCATTTGCTTGTTCTTGTTCGTCATATCGTTTGGATGTAGTTACCTTAGGACAAAGAAAAAGAGTTGATTCGAAGAATTCGAATAGAAAAATAGTTTACTTACGATTTCGTCTTCAAGACGAACTTTTTCCTGGCGAGCTTCGTTTCGTTCTTGCATTAGACTTTCTTTTAATGCCATTATATCTTCTTCTAAATCAAATGTCTGAATTCGAAAAAAATAAATACAGCATTAATATTCAATCAAGAGAAATTTCAGACTTGGTTTTCTACTAGTTATCATTTAACGTAGATTCAATTACAATGGCCGACACGAAATAGACCTTTCTTTTATTATGAGAATTTCATGAAACCTAACCCAATTGTGTTTTTTGAACTTTCATAGATAAAAATCTCATGAATACGTTTCACAATCGTGATTGCAGCAAGATTTCTTAAAAATCGTTCTAGTTTGTATTTATGCACTATCAATATTGATCGAGCGTAACCAGCGCACTTATATCGTACGATTGCTTCAGATTGCAATTTGTTAGCAACTGGAAAATACATCTTGAAAACGTTTCATGACTTAAGGCAGGGAAATTAGTTTTCCCGCTAATCTCTTTTGTCATAGCAATATATTCAACATTGTAAAGCAAGAAATGATCTATATTCTCATGTAGTACTCGCTAGCTAAATACTGTTGTTTTTCTTTTGACAAATCGAGCATCTTAACTCACATGTTGATTCGTCTCTCGAACAGCATCTCGTGTCTCATTTAAAGCTATTTGTAACGTAGCTTTATCACAAACACGATGGTTAACGTCAGTAATTGTCGAATCATATTGTTGTTGCAATGCATTTTTTTCTGCTCTTCAATGTAAGAAATGTTTACTATAAAATTTTTTTTTTCAAGATTATCGTTTTCTTACTGTAAGGAATTGATAGCAACAGTTAATTCTTTATCTTGATCAGTATATGCACGTACTCTTTGAAGAAGTGTATCGAGTTCTTTCTGTAATTTTTGTATGACACTAACATTCGATTCTCTTGCCATATTAACAGCGACTATGATGATAAAAAAAGTACAACTTGCTGAATGGTAAAAGATATTTTTGCTTACTTTGAATTTCATTTTTAATTGAATTCGGCAAAAGTTTTAATCGATGACGAAGTCGACTAGATTCAATTGATTCTGTTTCATAATCAACGTATAATTTTAAGATTTCTTTTTCCTTAAAAGATAATCATGAACGTTGAAAAAACAGAATAAGAAACTATTCCATAATACCAAAGCCATAAGTGTATCAGCAACATGATCGATGTTATTTAAATCAGTATCGTTAAATGTATTGATTTCAAGAGACTCACCTGTATCGTATAAAATCAAAAAATTATTAAAGGATATCATCTTTTATTAACTATCAAATTTACCGAGTTGTTTTAAATGATGAACTGCATTACGAATAGAAGTACTGATTTCTGAAGTATCGACAGCAGACATTTCTTTTTTTGTTTGTTAATATTAACCAATTTGATGTGTGAATTCAAAAGAATTATTCGACCATCAAAATCTTTGCCATTTACATATTAAACTCAGCGAGGCGCTGTAGTTACTTAGCAAAGTATAGTTTAGAAGGACATCTTTTCATCGATCGGTGTGATAGTAGAGAAATAGGTCGCTACGTGTAGTAGTAAAATTTTGCTTCGGGATGTAGTATTAAACTGAATATATGTGTACTATAGCGAAGTATTATTCACAGATTCTCCGTTCAATTTTCAATGAGAAGCATTTCAACGTGAAAATCAGAAATCAGTTCATGAGATTCTTTAGTTTGTATTTGTAATAGAATGATTGCCATGCAGAACTCAATGAACTTTATCAAATATATCAGTAACTCTTTTCGGAAATCATTCTTTCATCCTTGACAAATGCTCTAATGGATGCAAATATAACACTATCCAGATTTAGTGCTCTACATTTGTGACCAGCGATAAATAAAATAAGGCAAAAAAACGCATCGCTATGTATTGTCATTAAGACAAACTATATTTCGATGTTTTATCATTCGCTCTTGATAAATAGAAATAAATAAAACTTCAGATTTTTTTCTACGACTTCCGTTTGAATATTAGTATTGTGTTATATTATCGTAGTAGCCGGAACCTTCTAAAGCACGTCGTACGTTTCTCTCCACTCCGACCTTGTCTACTGCTAATGGTTTTTTTCTCGATCAAAGATCAAAAGATCGTAATTTTGTTGCTGATGAAAAAGTAATGATTTCCATCAGATGTATAATAATATAAATCGATAAATTGAAGACAGATATTTCGTCAATAATTCAGTCGCTGTGTTCTGGTGCTATTGTAGTAATCGAATTTTCTGTTCGAAACATTCCCTCCTTTTGCTTTGTGAAGTATAGTCGCATTTTTCTTTTTGATATCGTTACATTTCTTGTGCATCTGCCTCTCTAAGCCGATAAGAAAGGAATGATGGCAGAGGGGATTAATAATAATGGTCATAATAATGATCATCTTTCCGGAAACGAATATGAGATACTGAAACGAGGGTCTATAGCAAATGTCCAAGTTGGATCTATATCAAGATTTCTATCGGACTGTCCGGAAGCAGTTTTAAGCGTACACAAGTTTCTGCAAACAAATTATCCCAAGTCAAATCAGCAACAACAAATAGTGCAACCAGTGAATTCAACTCCTAAGCGTGAACATCCGCTAGATTAAAGTGGAAGTTCGATCAACAATGGAAGGGGTCGTCGTAAATATCCTCGAAAAGGTATCGACAACAATACACATAAGCAATCGGAAAATGTACAACAGAAAATTAATTTACAACCACAACAACCATCGTCTTCAATGTCGTCAGGTGAAAGACATCATCAACTGATAAGTCATGCTTCTACGAATCGTAAACGAATTTCTTTTAATCAACTGAAGCACACGGTATTTTCTACTCTGTCATGTTTTTTTTATTGAATTCCCCTCGGATGCTGATCGCCATAATTAGTATTCCAACAGCTCTTCATGCGAGTGATCTTGTACTTAAAGAATTACAATCGAAGGGTGTTGTAATTAATAAATTTACATTAGTAGGGATGGTCAGGGGAAAAGCTCAAGTTAGGTGTTAATAATAAAGAAGATTATGCCACGCTCGTTGGCTCGTTGGCTCGGATAAACGGCCTACAAAGACAAATGGAATTGATATTGCCGTTGCGAAACCTAAATATGTACCTGATTCATTTGCTCTTGTAGTTAGATATGTTCCTAGGGAATTAGAAGAAAATGTTGTCTCTAATGAAATACAGAGAACGATTGCCTTTGCAGACAGAATTAAACGTATTCATTATTCCTACCAAAGAAGAACAGATGATTATCGATCCGTGGTTATCGATCACCAAGCTTTACTCTGGAAATCATCTAACCTACTGCACGAAATGTTGGTACATAGGCCACTTCAGAAATAAATGCAATTCAGAAAACAAATGTCTAATTTGTCTTGAGAATGTGAGGGTGGATACTCCGCATATGTGTAAAAATGAACCGAAATGTGCTCAATGTGAGGGCAATCATTACTCATTAGATAATCAATGTCAAGTTATCAAAGAATATAAAGATCAATTAAAAGAGGATGTTGAAGATGTGATACAAAAAGGATTATTACAGCGATTATCACTGCAAGAAAAATCACCTATGTTCGAACTTCATGATCAAGATTTTCCACCATTGACAACAAGTGATAATCATTCTAAAAAACAATGGAATATTGCGCAACGACATACAACTGTCGAGTCGAATTTTTTACGTTCATCCGATACAGAAAAAGCATTTGAATCTATCAATGATAATTTGGCAAAACTTATCGATATTTATACCAGCAACGTTAACTTCTGGCAAAATTGAAAGAATATCGTTGGTGCCAGTGGCGAACGAATGCTGCAGTCGCTTTCGTGTTGCATCTTCAAGATTAATCAATGGCTTTCAATTAAATCACCAGATTCAATTGATTCCAACTTCGCATAACAATAGCATCGTTCAAACCGATCAACAGTCTTCATCAGTATACAAATCGATACAGAATGATAAGTAGAACATCAAATCTTAATGTACTCGCTAAAGCTTTCTTTCCTGCTTCAGAGAATTATTTATTGAATACTAGAGATGAAGCTATGCACCCGTTGACAACTTGGAATTTTACAACTAAAGATCAGAAATTAGTACTATCTCTATTAGATGAATGGTACACAGGTAGCACCTGGCTGGAAAGATGCGGAAAAATCGTCGTATTCCGGAGGAAAACACGGGAAGTCGCAGGAACATGGAAGCAGTATTTCGGTCGGAAAATTTTCGCAGTTTTTCTCGATGATTTACTGACGGTTCCTGCTGGAAAGCACTGGACGTTGACCGGAATCCACCGGAAAAAAATCCGAAAATTTATGAACGGAATACTGTTTCCACCTTCCAGCGATTTCTCGTGTTTTTCGGTTGTTTCCCGCCGTATCGCCATGACCTGGGTAGAAGAGTGGGAGAATGCTGGAATAGCTTCCTTACGAAACCAAAAAGAATATATAAATATTTTATGCTATAAAGTTGACTGTTGGGGCACTCGTGCAGTTGAAGCTATTGATTTAGTGTATAAAGCTCAAGCTTCTATTGGTATATTTACAGAAGTTGGAGAGTTCGGAAACACATGTCGATTACCACATGTTCACACGTTCTATCAAAAGGGTACTAACAAGAATGGAGGAGTATGCATAATAGTAGGGAAGCATCTGAAAGCGACGCGCGTCGAGGTTAACATTCCGAACGCGGTGATTATTGATATAGCAAGACTATCGGAACCAGTACGTATCATTGGTATTTACTGGTCCACTAGTCAACAGCGTAATCTAGATAAAATTCAGTCGTATGTAATAGAAGGTATCGTACTATCAGGCGATTTTAATGCAACAGGTGAAGGAATGGAATAGTCCAATAACTGATAGGAGAAGTTCGTGCGTGAGAGAATGGATAAATGAAAACAATCTCAATTATATTACATCAACGACCAACACGTCTAAGCGCTCCCTACGTAACATAGATTTGTCGTTCTCTAATAAGAGCACTATTCCAAGTGAAACATTATGTTTTGGCACTAGTGATCATTAGCCGATTTTGCTATCATGCAAGAACATTGTTTTTTTATACAAATTCCTCATACAAATCGGAAGGTATTTGAAACAGTATTAGTGCTATTACAAATATTCTGGATAGAAGAACAAAAGAAAAATAGTGCAGATGAGTGCCATCAGCAATATATTCGTTTCATCGCTGCTGTCAAAAATAGAGTGACTCATTGGGAAGATAAAGATAAATATAAACCATCGTTACCGGCTTATATCATCGAAAACTTAAAAGAAATACGAAAAGTGAGAAATAGATATTATCATTCAAGACATAATGGAGTTTTTAGTGAGGAAACGAGGGTGCTTTTACACACTGTGACAAGAAAATCAAAAGTTGGCATAGCAAAACATAAAAATGCTCAATGGCAAAAATTTTTATCTAACATTCAAACGTCGTACGAAAAATCAGATAAAACGTTTTGGACACTCTTATCTCACATATACAAATCGCGTTCGCTGCCTTTCTATAAACTATCGGATGGCACTAAAATAATATCAACACAAGAAGGAATTACAAATGAATTATTCCAGTACTGCAGTGAACAGTTCGAAATACTTGCAGTGGATTCTTCTAATGAACACAAAGGCCAGATAGATAGGAGGTATAAAGAGTTGGTAAATAGATTATCAGTGTTGAATGATAGCATAGAAAAAAACTAGCACTGTTGAAATTACTCGTAAAATTAAAACCTTAAAGCCTAAGAAATCAGCAGACTTTGATTCCGTGTCAAACTTTATAATTAAAAAACTTTCTCCAAGTTACATCGAGTGCTTAGCTAACTGCTTCAATACATGGTTCAACAAGTGCCGTTATCCAGATGACTGGAAAATTGCAAAAATGATTACTCTAAATAAGTTGAAGTCGGGTATCCAAAAGTGTGAGCAAACCCGTCCAATTTCTTTGCTAGCTACACATTGAAAACTGTTCGAAAAGGTGTTCTTACTAAGAATTAGACACTGGGCTGAAACAAATCGTTTAGTACCGCCAGAACAATCTGGTTTTCATTCAAAATATCTTCTACCGACTCGAGTACTTTCTATATACCAGAAAGTGAAAAACAACATGGCAGCTAATATTCCGAGGTTTGCCCTATATGTTGATTACTAAAAGGCTTATGATCGTGTATGGCATGCTACTCTCCTTTGTAAACTAGAAAAAATGGGTATGCCTCTCAACTTATTGAAAATGACTAATAGTTGGTGAAAAGATAGAAAAGCGTACGCAGAATATGATGAAATAACTTCGGAAACATTTAATATAAATATAGGACTGCCGCAGGGTAGTAGTCTTAGTCCGTATTTATGTATAGTGCTGCACTCAGACCTGACAAATTATCTAGAAGTTCATTCATTGTCATTTATTTGCAGATGACCTGTGCATATTAATTAAACCTCCAATAATAAAAACGTTAGGCTCGATGATTGACTACTTAGAAAAAGAAGGTACAAGAGTTTTTAATCAGGTTTTTTGTACTGAAAAAAAGTGGAAACATCCGTTTAATGTTTCTAAAACTGTAGTACAACTATTGCATACATAAGTTAGAAGACCGATCGTAAATGTAACAATAGATGGTAACAAAATCGAGTTAGTCAAAGAAGTCAAATACCTAGGATTCACTTGGACGGATAAACTTTCGTTGAAACCAACAGTCGATAAAACCATAGGAAATATTCAGAGATCACTAGGAAAACTGAAATGGATAAAGTCTGGTCGCAAAATGTCATGTAAAGCGCTTCGTCAATGTTTCTTCGCGTACACTTATCCGCATTTCGCGTGGCTATTCCCGCTTTGTTCTCTCCTTCCAGAATCTCGACAACATGTATTAGAACAAAAATTCCTTGTAGGTCTTCGGTTGGTGCACCACTGTCCCTTCGTTTCTGCGCATAATCTGTTGAAAGTCACTTCTGAACAGCCCTGACAATTTTACGTTAAAAAATATACTTGGCTGAGATAATTTTTGGAAAAAGAAAAATGATCAACTTCATCATTTTTTTCGGCCGCGTCGTGTGCAACAATTGAAAGATCGACACAAATCGTTCCTGTTAACGTGGATGGCTTTTGTTGATACTAATTAATATCACAGAAAGATGCATAAATGTAATGGTTTACGCAATTTTCTTCTTATTTTCCCTTCTTCCTTGTAGTAGTTCCCTCTCGATTATGTTCTCATTTTCTCTTCTTTTATTTATTTCTTTCTTCTTTCTCGTTCGTTTCCTTTAGTTTGTTCTTCGTATTCTTTTTTCTAGCTATTCGCTGTACTCACGTATCTTCGCTACCAATTATCATCAGTAGTTCTCTCTTTTCTTTTTCACACTTTTTTAATTTGAGTTTTCATTTATTTACTCTCCGAATATATCCTTACAAGCAAAAATTGGTACGCAGCATAATATATTGTCGGAACAAATTGTAAAGTGCTGCTTTAAATGATGAAGCTGTTCGCTTATACATATATACTGCTCTTTTTCTTATGTAAGCACTTCCGAGTGTTACATTCACGAACATAAGAAAAACAATTTCCCGTTCGAAACTGAGAGACATGTAAAATAATCATATTGTTAGGAAATTATTTTTTATGTCGAAAGATGTATATTATGTTTCATCATATCGCATTGAGTGTTTAGTCTCATAAAAGCTATCCAAAAAATTTAGACCAATAATAAAATCCAAGTGAGAGCTATTCTCCTCTAGTTTTCAGCTCTTTTGTTTTTATATGAGTCTGATTACAATCAATAGGTAGATGTTATATTGTTTATTTCTACTTAATCATGCATCAAAGATAAAAATCTAGGCACTTAAGATAAGGAAAGACTATATATTTATATAAATCGGTTTAAACCATCCAATCTAGCGTGCGTCATAAAATAAATCTTTTATTACGAATCTATTCAAGAAATAATAACTTTGTTGACGTCCTAGAACAGTGTAATTATTTCTAAGTTCCATCGGCCTTAACATTGATCGTATAAGCCGATAGAATAGACGTCACATTAATTATTTATAATTTCTCTTAAAAATTTTCATTACTAATAGAATAGTAAATGATCTATGACGAAGAAAACAAAATTTTATTTCATTCCTCGACTAGATTTATAAATCAATATTTTAACTGTCTAACCATTAAATAGCTTTGATGACATAAATTTTTGAGAGTCTCCAATGATATTGTCTATATCTTCGAGTGTCCAATATATCCGACTTTGTCATCCATGCCGTTCAAGCGAATTGAAACATGACGTTATTTATATTCGTTTGCGACCTAATGATGCCAATTAAATCCTCTACGACTGAATGAATAAAGAAATAAAGAAAGATACAAACATTGGCATATACTTCTATATTTAGCGCTAATAGTGGTGTAATATATATTTCTCTTCCTGTTTTCATAGAGTGATATTACCTAGTCATGCGATTCTTTATGCCAGTAAAAATATTTTAACTGTTTCCTCTATACTTCACAACCTGGATTTAACATGTTTTTTTTTCATTCATTTGATTGATCTGGTTGAAGACAAATTTCGGAATGAATCAGCCGATGTTCAGAGTTCAACAAGTAATTAAAAACTTTGAATCGATCAAATTATTCAGTTTTTGATTCAACATATAATTATAATTCTTTCTTTTTTTTTGATTTTTAAGAAAAGCAGATAAATAACGACAGCAATAAAATTTATTGTTCCTTTTTTTTCTATGTACATAGCACCTCAATAGGTTTTGGCATAAGTGAATAAGTAGACACAACCGGTGATCGATCACTTAGTTTAGATCGTCGATTTGTTTCATTTAATTCAACTGTTCTATGACGTGGACTGGGATTGTCTGTTGATGCTGTCCTGTCGTTCCTTGGTACATACATTGGTGATAATTTCATTTGCTGCCGGCGATAACGACGACGATGTTGTACGACCATTCGCGGTTATCATCGGTGTTAATTGTGAAAAATGCGAGACGACCGATGATCGTACTAAATAATCACTTTTGTAATACATTGAATTTAGATTATTAGCATTGCTATAATTATTATCAGTCATACGACGATTTCTTAAGCTTTCATTAATACAAAAAATATTTTGTTTGGGATAATGACAGCAAAGTAAATCGATAAATGATGAGCGAAAATTTTTCGACATAAATCCATAAAGAATTGGATTTGTACACTAAACAAAGAAGAAAAATAAATTTCGTTTTTTGTTTTTGTTTTGTATCAACAAACCGAATTTAGGTAAGCAAAAATATTTGCAAACATTGTTAAAATATCCATAAATCTTGCAAAATGATGACCAGTATTTCTCGATAGGATTACATTGGAAATAAATAATAGTTGCATAAAAAACCAACATAAAGCATAGGTTAATATAACAGCTAAAATCATGCGTGTTGCACGTCGTTTACTTTTACCTACGGATTGACCACGTGCTCCACGTAAAAATTTTAACATTAAACCATAAAGAATAACAATTACAGTTAATGGAAGCGCATAAAGAAATATGACAAAGCCAAGCCAATAAATGCTTGCCTCAATCGGTAGAATTTCAACTTCTGTTATATTCGATGTTATTATCGTGTTTGAAAAATTACTAGCATCCGGCTGTAAATAACGTAGAAGACAATACATCGCCGCAGGCGATGTAAATTCAATAACTGTAAATAACGAACCAATAGGTATACATACGATAATACCTAAGAACCATAGAGCCCTAAACAAAGCAAAAAAGGAGAGGAGTTTTTTGGCGATGATAAAATAAATATTCTACATAATGCAAATAGTTGTATTTTTAGTTGTTCGATAACTTGATATTGAATCAATCGCATGTACGACAGCAAAATAACGATCAATAGACATAAATACAAGCAGATAGATACTTATAAAAGCAGATAGATGATTGATAAATTGAGCTAAGAAAAAAGAAAAGTTTCTTATGGACGAAGAAAACAAAATGAACTTTCGAATTTACCTAATTTACAACCGTAATCAGTAAAAGGCCAACGACCAAAAAAACTAAATAAAGTTGTCGGTATACAAAAGATAATGAATAATACATCGGCAACTGCTAAATTAAATATTAATAGATTGGTTGATGTTTGCATGCCTTTATTGAGACCAATACCAATAAGTACAAGAGAATTACCAATAAGACCAAGTACAAAAAATGTACTGAATAAACATATTTTAACGAGACCTAATTTAAAGTCATCGCCAAAAACACCAGTAATAGTAGTATTATGTATATTGTTATTTAATTCCATTAGAATTTTGTATTAAATATAAGTTCATAGGTGACGATAATCTGAAGAAGAAAAACCATATATACCATGGTAATTATTGGTAGATAAAAAAGACAAATCATAGACAAAACCGTTAATCCAAAGAAAAGATTCGTAATGAAAGAGGAAAATAGTTCTGTTGCTCTCCGAAGACACATGATCTTTATTCCTGCTTTTGATCTTTAGTACTAGACGGGATCGTTTATTGTCATTCCATTAGCCATAGAGCACTATGATTGTCATAGTTATATAACAAGAATGACAACAGGATCGTAACGGCGACAGTGATGAAAAGAAGAAAAGAAACTATAAAGAAGACGACGAAAAAGAAGAAGAAAAATATCTATGCGGGACTAAGGAAGGGTTCTTGCCTATTATTACAATACAAATCATAGATTTAAATATTCATTTCATATTAGCTCATCGTTGTCTTTTAATCTGTCTAGTAAACATATTCGAAATATAAAATATATGCTGAATCGTAATAACTTGCAATCATAGAGATAGAATAATTAGTATTTTATAGTTTGCATAAATACATAAATCATTTTCTATGGCTTTATGTTACGCTATTATAGTGTTTGAAAAGAAATCGAACTCCGTCAAACTTGCTTAACCATCTAAAGTTTCGTCTATAAAAAAAAAGTCGAGAAAATACTAAGTTAGTTTACGCAAAGAAAAAGGAAAACTTTGATCTATTTATTCTAAATGATTCATTTAATTTATCATCCGGACATATGGTATATATTGTAGATTGTTTTTACCAGGCAGATGTTCTATCTATTTGTAGTCATTAACTTCACTAGAGAACAGGTAAAGGATATATGTTCTTATGTATAGATAGTAATTACTCTATATGAGCTATGAGCTATGAGCATACATCATCAATACGCAAAAGAACTTATGTTTATCTTAACATTATATTTTAACGAATTGCCTGTGCATATTTGCACGTCATTTATGACAAACGATATTGTTTTTACTTTCTCATTTCTCCTTTAACAAACTGCTCAAGTGGCAAACAGTTGCTTTCTTATTCTGACGTTTTGATAATATGATTTCTCGTGTGTGCTTAGCTCTCTCTCTCTCTCTCTCTCTCTCTCTATTTCCCTCTCTATCTATCTATCTATATTTTCAACAGACAAGGAGGTAGAACGACAATGATGATGCTTCACATTACTTAAATTTCCCCTTTGGCTATGGAGAGAATGAATCAAGAGGAAAAAAGGGTATTAGTGTTCTTTAGAACTTGTCTAATGAAATAAAAATAGATAAAATATACAATGAAAACAAACATATTTCACAAGATTGGTTAAAGCACAAAAACTTTCTCATTTATTATTGTGGCTTTGATTAGCAAGTATGTGAATCCGTACGTTCAAGTGATATTTCTTTTTCTTATTCTTCTCCTATGATGATAATTTCTAATGGTATTACAACTTAAATCAAGTATCAAGTGCAAACATGCAAATTTCCAGAATGACACTTAAAAGAGTGTTCAACAGTCGTCTAATCAAATGAATTTGTCTACTTCTCTTTGAAAACTCTCGTTTAGACAAAATAAAATGCCTGGATAAAATAATGTCACTGAGACTGTTTTATGCTTTTGCTTCTCACTGCGTGTGAACACATAAAGATCCAAATCTCGTTTTAAAATGTGTATACAGTGGCAAGAATTATACCTACTGAAACATAGAGAGAAGATTCAAATGGCCATATTTCCTACAGATAAAAAAAGAACAAATTATCAAAGTAGTTCGTTTAGTGGTAATAGGAAATTATAATGCCAATGTTAATGCAGCTAATCGTGCATTTTTTACTACTCTATACTAAATGGATAGGGTGTGTTTTGTAGCTTGAAAGCAAAAGAAAAAATGCTTGAGTATTGCTTCTCAATTGCGATCCATTATCTTATTTTATTTTTACACTCTTAGACGCTTCACCCTATACATAACATTGTTTTCGCATTTAGACATTTTTCCATATGTAACAGAGGCTCGACTATATGATAATCATTTTTCAAGCTTTTTCTTCTATAAATATGAATTAATTAATTGATTCATTTGAATAATTCTTCTATGTCATACAGAATATTCTGAATTTTTGATTAAAAACGCAGAAAAAGTATTGACTAATCGACTTATGACATATGAGATTCAAGAGATTTGGATAAGCCCGTAGCTTAAAAATTCTATTAGACTACACAGTCAACATTCAATTGAATTACAGAATAGGCTGACAAAAATTAGTTTTTTTTTCTTTCTACGATGAATATCTTTACGCTAAGTCAACGATAACTAAATGGTAGTTCAGATTTTCACAGAAATTAATGCTGCGATAATCTCTATTGACACCGGCGGACAATATCATAAGAATATAAGCTATTATTTCCCTATGAGAAATAATGTTCGGATTGGTCTCATGTGCAATCTGAAGAAAAGAAATCGAACTGTATGTTTTGTTTTGTGTATCTCTACGTATTTCGTTTATTCTAAATGCTTTTTACTCGAGCAGGATTATCAATAGAAGAACTTATATAAATATATATATATATATATATATTTCAATGATAAAAGAACAAACTCATGCGCAATTATGAAATAAAAACAAATTATATTCATGTGTCGCATAAATATCATAAATAAATATAATTAAGATTTTTTTCTCAAACATTTGTTCCTTTTTTTAGTGTTAAAACCCATACGACTTACCCTCATATGAATCCTATTTTGAGTACAAAGTGCTCTCTAGTCATAAAATGCGCGCTCTTTTCTCTCTTTCCCTAAAACAATGTGCTAATCTTGAATGAAGAAGCGTTCGTGAAATCAGATTTTTCACTTTATGAGACGTCTCCAGACAATGAACTAGTCCCAATGCAGTATCCACAGCGAGTGTTGATAAAGCTTAGGAGTCGAATTTAAGCAAAGCGATCGTACATGAAGGCGAAAATAGAGATAAGAAAATTCATTTACATATTTTACAATAAATAACAAACTGATCAAACCATACAAAAAGAATTGTTTTTCTCTCCTCCCACTCTCTCTCTAACTAACCATTCTGACATGATATGACGGTTTTTCTCTTGAACAAATGCCAATCAAGACCCTAATTGATAACAAAAAGGAATTTAAATTGGTACATTCAATCGAAAACATGTTGCTGAAAAACATGTACTTGTTTCTGATTTTCTTCTTTGTTGTTGACTAAATATAGTCTCTGACGTTTTCAGTACATATGTGATATATGATTATTTTCTAATAGAATGTAAAGTAGACTAATTTTTGCTGTTGTTATTGGTCAATTAGATTTCTTCAAATATTTATGGTACGTGTCTTGATAGAATAGCAAAAAGAAAACTAAAACATATGGGTGATAGTGAATTCCAGAAGTAACAAAACAAATTGAGAAGAATAAATATGGCAAATCAAGTATCATTAGATGGTACGCAAGTTTTACTCATCCGAAAGATTACTACTGAGTTTATTTTATTCTTGATCATAGAAAATTCTCTAGATGAGAAAAAACTAAAGAAGACATTTCTAAAAGACATTGATTGATCATTTAGTTATTTATTATTTTCGCTGTAGGATATCATAGAAGTGTTTCCGTTTTCTAGTTAGTATAAATTCATTATTTTAATTAGAACGGCCAATTGTAGCTCTGAAACACGAGTATTCTAATGGTTTTGATATTCCAGTACACATACATGACACTACGCTCAGGATTCGTTGATTTTAATAATGGCTGTCGAATGTCATGCAAAATATTTGGAAGCTATAATTTCAAATGAAGTCATGCAACGTTATCTAACGCTGGCAAAGAGACGCGGCTAGATTTAAGTAACTTTGCTAATAAAAGAAAAAAAGAGATTATCAGAACTAATAGAAGGCCTAATCAAAACGCATATTGTATTCAATTTCTCCAAAGAAACGAAGGAGTCCAATTATAATTAAAATTTGCATTGCTATACTAACTTGAAACTCACGTTAATAAATCGCTGCCGTTGAAGCAGGTGATAAAGAATTTGTTTTGTTCTAAACCAGAGAGAGCTCAACTGAAACTATTCATTGGTATGCTGCGTGGCTTAAAATATGTATTAGACATGTCTTATCAATAATAAAAGAAGCATGACTTTGCATAGCAAATGGGAAAAAAAATAATTGTTTTATTTCTATCAAGAGGCTCATATTTGCGTCGGAATATAAGATACTTAGTAAGACAATAGAATTTAGCGAAAAAGCTATCATTTTTATGCCGCTACGTTTTACTGAACTCTGGTTAGGACAAATTTTTTACTGCTCGATTCGCGATGATGAAAAAGTTAAACACAACAAATCGTATCCAAATGCTGATTGTAATAGCCTTGTAAATCGAATACCACCGATTCGAATTAACATTTTGATACATATTAAAAAAGAGATCGCCTAAATCCGTATGAATACTATGCTGAGAAAACTAGAAAAGGTTAGCGACAAAGAAATGCTTATTAACATTACAAAAGAAGAATCCGGATTAGGATCTTCTCTTCGTCCACAGCCTATATTGCTTTTACACAATTATGTCACCAAGAAACTTACTGTTGTTGTTTTGCTACGCGCGCATTGACGCTAATGTTTGTTTGCTTGCTTGAGTATTCTATGTTAAATAGTCCGATGAGGATGATAATGCAAAAAATTTCTACCTGATTGTCTTATTTTTTATTTTATTTTTACAATTTCACGGTACATCTACATCAAATAATTTATCGACACTTTAGGGATGATCGTCTGAAAACAAGACATTTTCAAATAAGCTGCAAGATTGTACGACAGCCATAAAAAAGCGCTTATATAGGCCCGTTCTACAACGTCCATTAGTGTCATATTAATGGAAATTAAGATAAATACATTGAGATGATAGGTTCATATTGGATCTTGAACAAAAAAATGTGTTTTTTTCTTTATGTGACATGTCGTTTACCTTCGAGGAATTCTTAATAATTT